CATGATAGTGTTATTCAGCCGATACCTCTTGATTAAAGAGACTTGCCTCATTATGTTAAATAGGAAAAATGAACAAAAAATGCTGGTAAAAATGTTTTTTCTAGAGGCAAGAGTTGGCTGGGTAGGTGGCATATACTGGACGTGAGTTAAAATAGAATCAAATTTTCCGTTTTTCTAATTGTGCCATGCCTACTCCTGAGTGCAAAATAAGTAAAATGTAAAGATGGAAGTATACAGTTAAGTAAGGTTTATATGTACTTGGTTTCCAGACTTATGTATTGAGAAATGTTTGAGCCATCTCAAAAGAGAAGGCAATTCAATTAGTCGGTTTGGTTATGTTTATATTAATATTTGACCGCTAAGCTCGTCGTTCAATCCGGCAGTTGTTTGAGGTTTGGCAATCACAAGCCCAAATCATTAATACCAACATAAAATTGGGTTTTAGACTATTCTAAATGATCTTATTCATCAGCCATGTGTTCAGCCAGTTTAGCTTTCTAGGCCCACAAGAATTTGCAGGAGGTTGTGTGTTGAGACAAACTCTTACGTGTGGATTGCTAGGTCTCCTCCACACAGAAGTTTATTCATAAGCACATCAATTTACGACAACATGATTCAGAGTTTGGGCTTGGTTAAAGATGCAAAAACCTCAATTTATTCATCAGCAATCTATGCCACAACACATGCAATCACACATCAGAAAAAGTGTATGCATCACATAATCAAACTCAAATCCACTATGTGAATAAACAGCTGTACGGAAATATTATATACAGCTCGTCTGCATTCATGTAGAAATGAGCATGAAGCAGCTGATCAGATCCCGAAATGCTTAGTTAAGATAAAAAAGCTAGGTTTTATAAAATGGGAATTATTGCAGCTGGAGACCATTTTAGATTTAAGGTGTGCTGAATGTTGTTAAAGAACGGTTGCACACTTTGACACTGTCTGCTATATAAAAAAAAGAAAGATTAGTACTGTTTACATGAGATCGGAAGGATTATTAGCCCTAAACTTTTACGCACTAGTCAACTCTCTGAGCTGCACAGCAAGGCTTCTTCAGTTTCTGGTAAGGTCAATTTTCCTATTTATTCCACTAAACTTTTCAGAAGAACAAAAAGGTCAAATAACATGAAATAATTAATGGAAACTTAGAAGCCTAGCTTCTAGTCAAATACGAAGTTTCTTATTAAAGATTAAATAAAAGAAAATACAGGATTGGTTTTAAGCACTAATTTTGCACTTATCTTATCTTCAGAGCAAACAATAAAATTTATTTTCACTTCCTTTCCGTGAAATCCATTCTAGTCACTTGCTTGTTCTTGTCTATACCCCGTATTCCCTTTAACATGAAAGATCATTAAAAAATTGTGCGAGGTTTAGGCCTCTGAATAGTAAGCAACATTCCTTTTTGCATTTTACATAACCAAATCCTTCCAAATAGCGAAAATTTTTTTCTTAGATCAGACATATTTCTATTGATTCTAGCATCAATTGCGGAGAGCACGTATGTAATAGGGGTAGCAGTATAATCTTTATCTTATCTTAATCTTTAGGAAGCCAAACTTTGACATCATTATGAATTGTGGGCTAGAATATCTATGCCAAACTTCTCAGAGATTAGCTTATGAGGCTGAGATCAGTGCATCGAGCGAAAGTCTTGCTGATAATTGTTTGTTAAGGTCGCGTACTTTTCCGAACTCCAAGAATTGAATAATAGGGGCCTATTTTTTGTCGAAGTTGTACTTTTCCTCTTAAGAGGATTAGGATTTATTAAAATTCATATATACTCTAAAGCTTGAAGTTTTGACTTACAATTGAACAAATCTTGTCTATTGACTAAACTCTCATTCATGTCCCCCTTATTCTTTGCATAGTGTGGTAACTTTGTGTAAATTCTTGTATTTAATACACAAGTCACTTTGAGTATTTCCGATTGTGTAATTTACTTGATTACTACTTAAGCTTTGGGTCAATGTGCCACTTTTCGCCTTGATCCGCCACTAGCTCTCGTCGTCAATCTTTCCATATCGGAACTAAACGAGCAAAGGCTTTCTGGTTCAACCAGAGAGGGCATCTGAAACGATTGCAAGGAATATTTAATACTAATGAATTATATGATCTTGAATAAAGTCGCTCTGTTGAGTCTTATACTCTCACCCTTTCCTCAAAAGAGGGCCCTCTATCAACTCATATAAATTGTAAAAATGCATAATCATAGAATTTCGACTTAGCGTAAGCATGCAACATGACCCACTACTTTAGCCATATTGACACTCTGAAAAAGAGTAACAAAGTTTCATTATTTTGTAATGAGGAAAGAAGATGAGTTAGGGATATGGTTAAACGATACTAACTGACGGCATTATTATTAGTGATATCGATTATTATAGTAGAGCTAATCTACAGGGAGGAAGTAATACAACATTGCATAATATATTTTGCTAGGTGGATGTTTTAAGAAGGTTCATATAACTAGGCAGTTCTTAACAGCCTGCTTAGCGCTTACAACTCTCTTAATCAAGTCATTTTTTTCCTCTTCAACCATTATTAGATGTCATTTTGGCCTAAATTATAAAGTAATTATCAGCGATCATATTGTAAATGCATACCTTTCAAATGAGTTAGTTATATCGACACAAATTCAATATAAATTGCAATAAAAATATAAGGCTGAAACTAGCGGAGCCCAGTAACTTACCGTTTGTGGATATTTAAGATGAGGCAAGGCGCTGTCCCGAATTCGCCGCATGGCGTGCAAAGGGGGTTCATTGAAAAAGGTTGGCTCGCCGTCTACCATTTCTATTATGAGGACGCCGCAGGACCAGACATCCACTGCGGTGGTGTATGGCTTCCGACCGATCACTTCTGGCGCCATCCAGTAAGGGGTGCCAACTAGACTTCGGCGTCGGGGCAAGCTAGCAGAAATCTGGAAAAAAATAAAAAAATAACAAGCATGAACTGATCTGAACGAAGAGTATTCCAGCTGAAAACGAATTGGCTTAGATGCACGTCAGTATGAGTAAAGATGTGTTGGAAGATTCTAAGACGTGAAAATAATCTCCATAATAGCGTGGCTTAAGTTTTTGTAATAAAATAAAAAAGGACTGCAATGAACAGAGCGCATTGTCATTTTTGTAGTCTGATACAACATGTGGCCTGTGAGGAAAGTGGTGAGATAGCATTTATATGGTTATGCGTTAATTGTAAGAAATCAGACCTATGGTCATCTTATTGCCATAGCTATTTGACAATGGAAAATCTAGGCGTAATTTAAACTTTTCATGCAGCAAAAAGCCCTAATTTATGGTAGCATTACTTTTAAATATTCACAGCGATACAAAGTGAATAATAGAGGGTGAGATCGTGCACGCATTTGATTTAGTAAAAAACGGAGTTTGAAGCTTTGAAAGGGTCAAAATTGATAACATAAACATGATATAATTTTATGCCTAAACTCATTTTATTGAAATGAGATGTATTTACCCTATTTCGTGTAAGGTGATGAAGGACTGGTAGTAGAATTTTCCCACATTGAGCTGACGTTTCCATTGAATTTCACTTAGCCTTGCTCAATGTAAACGTCAGGTCAACTCATATCAGTGTGGGAAAATTCTACTACCAGTCCTTCCTCACCTTACACGAAATAGGGTGAATACATCTCATTACACTGATTTACTCGTAGTCTCGAAACTCTACTCAATTATGATCATTTTATTGAGTTGCACGCGAAGTCTTTTTGCAGAAAGGATAGGAAATAGAGTTAGATATTAAAATAGTAGATACGATGAGAAACTGGTTTGCGATGAATCTCTTGAGATAACATTGTTAGAAGGACTTACATTTCGTATGAAAGTGAATGAAGAAGAGATTCGTTGGTAGATCTCACCAGATGAGGACGGATAAATCTCGTTGTACTGCAACCGTTTGGCTTCAATACGATATTCATGTTGACTCAGTCCACGAGACTTCATCCTTTGTTTTCGGTGAAAACGTGCTGAGCTTTCGTCCATCATATGATGGACTTCATCAGAGCTGGGTGCCGTTCTTGTAAAAGTATCACGCTAACACTTCTTATATAGACTCAATTAGGCTAAAAGAATATTAAAAACCTAGATAGATTGATATAGAGTTGTTTTGTTAATTATCTTTCATACTGGTCCTGTTACTTTTCCTCGACTGTATGCGTATGTGCATGTGTGCGTGTTAGCGCCTATATGCAATACCGGTCCTAAATCAAAGCTCAGCACGTTTTCACCTGAAACAAAGGAGGAAGTCTCGTGGACTGTGTCAACGTGAATATCGTATAAAAGCTAAACGGCTGCAGTAAAACGAGATTTATCCGTCCTCATCTGGTGAGATCGACCAACGAATCTCTTCTTCATTCACTTTCATACCAAAATGAAAGTCCCCTTAACAATATTAAAATAGTACTAAATAGTAGAGAAAGAGAAATTAAACGGAAACAACAGTTTGTTAGATATAGCATCAAAGAGCATATCAAGAAATAGATAGTTATGTCCTTCCGGAAAAAAATATGATGAAAGTTAATAATTTCTCTGGTATGCCTAGCGGAATATCATGCGAAATATCTCTCGTGTTATCTTCTCTATTCGATAGACTGAAGTGGTTATTTTAAGACCATAAGCATGAGGAACCTATTTAAACCGATCGCATTGTGCTGGAAACAAGGCAAAACAGCTCGCCTGCTTATCCCTATAATCGGTTTTATCAATACATTCGCTTTCATTTAGTTATTCTAGCCAAAAGGTTCTGGCAACAAAAAAACGCAAATACAAATTACATTTAAAATTGATAAAATCTGCTTCCCTACCTATGGCGGATGAAGACACCTAGCCAATGCATAATGGCGAAGGTAACGTCAAAAAGCAATTTAATTCTGAGTCTTTTCCATATTGATGTATATTTTCGTACCAAAGGAAAGCATCAGAAATGAGTTATGCAATTTTTGTTTTGTTTTAAAACTCTATAACAGTTAATATTTGAATGAAGGAGCTTGATATCGTCTAAGAGGTGGACGAACAATGAACTGATAATCACAATATTCCATTTGCTAGTTCAACTGTTGCTATCTAGTGGTTCTATTCACAATGATTAACAAGTCTAACAGAAAGTCAACTATAAGAGATATGTTCACACTATTTCGTTTCAGGTGATAAGAGGACTGGTAGTTGAATCAACCCACAATGCTATAAGTAGATCCTAGGTTCTCGTTGGATTTCACATAGCCTTGTTTTTCAAAAACGTATTCTCATCCAGGCCGAAATAGGCTGTCGTTTCGGCCTCGCCCAGGTCTCATCCGCACCCCCCAGTGGGACTTGAATCATGATAGCGCAGCGTATACCTTGGCCACATTGTCATGAGTACACTTAGTTCACAGGGCAGATGCGAATTTCAAGAAGGGTCAGGCCTTTTCCCATATCATGTTTTGTGGTGGGATTGTCGATGAAGAAAAGTTATACTCGTAATGGAATACACTGCTTATTTTTCGTTTATAAGTTGATTTTGCAGACTTATTTGAAAACTTAGTTAATAAAGAAAAAAGTAAAATTAAATATTCTAACTTCTTATAGGTATTGATACTATGAACATGTTATATTATAGTAAATGGTGTATAATTAATGAAAGTATGGACATCTCTTAGGCACGGAAGCACCAAAATACGAGCCCACCTACGTGCACACACATCATGCGCCAATACCAGCTTTCAAAAATGCATGCCTACATCTACAGATATGTCTGAAAGAGTATGCATGGCCAACCTGAGCACAGAAACCGAAGTCTGATAGTTTGACACGCCCATCAGCCGCCAACAGTATGGAGTCCGACTTCACATCGCGATGAATGACTCCATGATCATGCAAGAATGCAAGCGCATGCAGTACGGATCGAGAGACGGTTGCGATTTGCTCCTCATTCAGGCTAAGCAAGAAAATGGGAGGAATAAAAATTTGCGTCAGAGAGAGGAATTTTAATTAGGGCTCTCATCTGTGCATGACATTAGATGACTACTTTATGTGCAAGTATACTAAGAAAAGTTGTGCCAAATAAGTTGCATTATACGAAAACAATTTAATCGCTGCAAAAAGAGAAACTTCAGCAGCCATTGGTATACAATTATAGCTGAGTTTTACTCCAATGCCTCTACAGCCTGGGGATAAGATAGGCTGGTAAACAGAAGAGGAGAAATTAATCTTTTGCAAGTAGACATTACTAAAGTAGTAAATATCAAGCATTTTCAAAGAGGATATGTTTAGTATCCATGCTTCTATTGCATTTTACATTGCCTTGCTTCCGAAAAGCTATTATTATCTTGGCTAGGCTGCAGTATCGACTTCACATCAGCATCCCAAACAGGACTCGAACATGGGTTATTCAGCGTATATCCTACTACATTAACCATCATGTCCAAGCATGTACAGTTTGCTTCGTCTAAAATCCGCCCTGTGATCAAAGGGCGTAGTGGTTAACGTGTCGATATTGTATTCTGCATCACGAGAGTTCGATTTCCGCGGTGGCTGCCGAAGCGACGTAGGTGAGGTAGAAAATGCAGTCCACTCCAGCTTGGATAAGAATACCTTTTGGGAATCAGGGCTATGTGAAATTCAATGGAAACAAGAGGCTTATTGATAAAATCGTGGGAGAATTCGATCACGACATAATGAATACAGATCTTAGATAAGATTTAATTATAAACGAAAATCCTTCTAAGCTATTTTATTAAAAAAAATACAAATGAAAATAACAAATGCTGAGAGTTAAGTAAAGTGAAGTTTTAAAGAAGAAACCCAATTTTGTTTAAGGCGATGAAGGACTGTTAGTTGAATTTCCCCACAAAGCTATGAGTAGAGCTGACGTTTTCCTGGAATTTCACATTGTCTTGCTTTACCAAAAGTTGTTCTCATCCAGGCACCCGTGGACTGCAGCTTCGACCTCGCACTCGTGGCAATGCGGCCGAGTGGTTACCGTGTCAAGCTCACATTCTGCATTGTCACTGTTAAACTCCCGCTGGGGGTTTTGATAAGACCGATGCGAGGTTGAAACTGCAGTCGACTGGTGCCTGGATGAGAACAACTTTTGGGAAAGCAAGGCAATGTGAAATTCCATGGAAACGTCAGCTCTACTCATATG